AATACAAATTTTAGCCTGCTATGAAATGAAAAAAACAGGTTTTCACCAGAAAGGTAGGAAAAGGTAAAACAAAGATCATGAAGGATGTTAATATATGTCAAGCAAGACTAATGTAATTTCTTCTTAGTAATCCATGTTTCAGAATTACAGAAGAAACAACAGAAATTGCAAAAAAGAACAATCAAAAGTAACCTGGAACTACCTAGCTAGTCAGTCAGCTTAAAGTTATACTATCAAACTCTACTAAGAGAGAAAAAGAAGATAATCCTAAGGTGTAAAAGAAGGAGCAATCTTGAAAAGGGAAAAACTTTTGAAACACCTTCTTCTCAATATATGCTCCTCTGCATATTCTATGTTACCACAAACAGATCCTATAGTAAGTTCAATGTTCGCTATATTACACATCGAATTGTTTCAGGTAAGCTGCTAGATATGGGCAGAGCAGATTTTGGGCAATCGTTTTTTAGAGCAGTCGTTCCACCAGTTATATTCTGAAGCTGATTGTTCAGACCGACTTCACTTGTATTCGTCAAGTGTAACAGCTGAACAAGGGATGAAAAAATCTCGTGTCTTGTTACTAGCCTGTTTGCCTGCAAGAAAATTGTAACGTTAAATAGATGAAAACAGATCAAAGGAGAAGCAAAGTGGTTTTATTTGCTGCTGCTGTTTTCCAGTTTAGCGTTTACCTCAGCCTCAACAACAAAATGTGCCCACATCTTTGTCTCGCGAGATTCCATCACTCCCTTCAATATGTTCAAGCCAAAGCCTCGAATTATATCTACCATCTCCAGAAAGAAACCTTGTTCATTGCAGAGTATCTGAGTAAAAGAGCACACATAATCCAATGTTAATCATTTACTTAAGATAAAGGTTTAATCAAGACTCATCGAAATAATTGTAGGTATGATAGGTGATAAAGAAACGATTACTTACTTCTATGAGCATTTGACCAGGGGTACTAAGGTCCTCAACTATCAGCGGACAAACCATTGTTTGATCGCCAATTTCACATGCCCATGTAACTCCATTGCCATTAGTCTTGGACATCTCTAACCGAATTTTAGCATCCTGCTGGTTGAAAATACGCATGTTAATTGGCAGTGAAAATAATGTTTATCTTTTTACCTGCTCAAATAAATCAAAGTGATTGATTATTACCTTCAAATCTTCAGTCCTTTTGAGTCCTTCAGCATGTTTAGTAACACCTTGCAAGAAAAGCAAGTGCTTTATAGTTCTGTGTAATAAGCGATCAATGCTCATCTGTCAAAGAAACATTTCCAATGTTAATTTATTTCTGTTAGTTCTTTAAGCAAAACATAGAGTTTAGAGACAACACCTTCTCGCCATTGGGAATAAGCTCTCGCAACTCTGAAAGACGTTCATAGATCAGCTGCCGATCTTTAGGAATAGGCCGAGTCCCTGGTTTAGCCTTCTTCTTAGTAGGCTTTGAGGATTTTTGATTGCCTTTAACTGGTAAAATGGTATTGCAAGCGTTGATGCTGCATCTGTCTCCAATCAATGTACTTGCATCCAATTTCGTGATGGCCTCACTCTTCGCCTCAAGGTTGCTGTCCAACTTTGTAATCTTATCAAAGCTAGAAAAATTAGGAGGCATTGCCAGATAATTGCATCCTGAAGAACTTCCAATTCTTCTTCTTTTATTTGTTACTGACAACTGATCATCGGAAACAGATCCAGCAAATGAACAAGATCCGTTCAAGGCGTCATCAAGAAGCTGGTCTATTCCCAGTTTTGAGAATAACCTGTTATCCGGCCTAGATCTGAGTTCATTAGCTTGACCAGAGTTCCATCCACAGTTGGAAGTGCTAAAGTCCGGGTAATGACCACTAACATCTGGGTTCAAACCAGTCATTTTCCCAAAGGGAGACATGTTTGAACAGTTTCCTTTCTCAACATGGTTAAAGGCATTGGTGATGGAACTCTGTATTGAAACAGAAGCATCACAGTCTACATTAAAATTACACTGCTCGTTTAGATTGGCAGACGCTGAGATAATTCCCATCATATCGAATAGGGTGTCATTGATAGTACCAACTGCTCCATCATTCCTCTGGTTGATCAACGGTGTGCAATACTGCTCGGTGGTCTTAACCCCATTAGCAAATACTTCGACTCCACCTGAGGAACTGAATGCTGTGCTCTCATGAAAGTTTTGAGTTGCATCTGCCCCATATCCAAAATGGTTTGGCTCCGTGGAAAGGACATAATCGAAATCTTGTATGCTCATATCTGATGTGAGATCTTCCCAGGTTGAAGTCAGACAGGAATCCTGGAAGCCGGTAAAGACACCAGCAGACTGGAATGTCGATTGCTGTAATTGAGTGTCAAATTGGCCGCTGCAGGAATTGAACTGAACTCTTTGAAACTGGTTTTCACTCAAAGATGATGTAGCTGCATCAGATGTCATTATCTGATCGTCCGCTATGAGATCTTCTAATAAACAAGATTCCTTCATAAAACTTTCATTGTTTGCAGTTGGCAAAGCATTGGAATTCACAAAATGCAGATTCTCCCAAACTGAACAAGAAGGTGAATGTTGTGATGGAAAATTTCCTGCTTTGACTTCTATCCCCTGGAAAAGTTTTCTAGATTGATCCACAAAACATGTCCTCTCTGGAAGCTGCAGAAAACATAAATAATTAAGTAGACATATATACAACTTAAGAATATACAGGTTGAGGTTTCAAAATTTGATCGAAAATGAGAATGAAAAATGAATTAAATTTGCATAGATCATTGAGCAAACCTTCTTTCACTAATCAAAGAAGTAATTGCCTACACCAATATATTGTAATTTTCTAATTCCTTTCCCTTTCACAATGACTAATGAATTAATGAGAGAAAGAGGATTTTAAGCTGAACAAGTTGATTGTGCAATATGCTCGGATTGTTGAATAAGAAATTACTTAGTGCTAACCTTAGTAGTAGAACCAAATTGCAGAACGCCCAGTGGTTCAACTGAGATTACAGCAATTGTCTGCAAAATAACAAGAACAATTTGTTATTAGAGTAAACCAACATTTCCAAGTGCTGGAAGTGAATCAGGCAAACTAATAAGCAAAAAAGAGTACCTTGATCCCAGTGGAAAATTGCTGCTCAAATTCAGCATCATCCTACAAAATGAAGTTACAATTGCCAGTTTTAAAATCAGTAAAATTTGTTATTTAACCAACAACTTTCACAAAAAGAAAAGTCAAACCAGTCTGCTTTTGAAAGCAAGAAAACAAATTATAATTACCTGGAATAAATTGGAATTATTAGATGATCCAATGGAGATCTGCTTTTCATGATTAGCATCAGAAAGCATCCATTTGTGTTTCTTAGTAAATGCTGCTTGGCCAATTATCCTGTAAAAAAGTCATATCATCAAAATTATGGTTGTGAAAACTTGTAACTTTTAGCCATTAAAATTTAACTGAATTTTCCGAAGAAAGATATAATTTTGCAGCATACCCTGCTCCAACAATATGGACTTGCAAAAGCATTTCATCAATCACAGCTGCCATTTGTTCCTCATAGTATGCATCTTGTAACGTTAATAATCTGACATGCAGAAGATTTCAGTGCACCAAAAAATATTTCTCAAAAAAAAAAAAACTTTTCCAAATGAAAGCAAACTCTTTTTGCCTTCAGAAATCTTTTCTTTTTTCCAATTAACATATAAAAATGAACTTTCAGTAACAAAAAAAAATTAGCTTTTCTCCAAAAATCTAATGCTGTAATTTCATTAAATATGTTAAGAAAATCATAAAACCAATTTGAATTTGGCAGAAGAGACTGAACTAGAAATATCTTTTAATTAAAAGACCAATCAAATAAATCTAATGATCCAAGACATTCATGTAATTTTCGATTTAGAGAAATTAAAGACTAGAAATTATCACTTATCATTTTAAAAAGGACTATTATTCCACAACTTTAACTTACCAAAAGCATCTTATTGTAGTATTTGTAAAACATATGAAACAAGGTACTAAAATCAAAATTCTCAGCCCAAAATAATAAAAAAAAAAATCTCCTTTGAAAGAAAAGTAAGCCCTTTAGAGTAAAAAGAGAAAAAAAAAAAAGATCTTTATTTCAGTAGTTTAAAAACTACAGAAAAAATAAAGAAAAAGAGAAAATAAAATGGTGAGCATGAGAGAGAGAGAGAGAGGAGTTGAAAAGCTTACAAAGAATTTCTGTGATCAAAACCCCAAAAAACTCCATAAGACCAGCCATGGCTTCTACAAAGGATTTTGAGTGTCTCTTTTGCCATAGAATCAAACTTCCCTTCACACATTTTTACTTCTTGAAAATAACCCAAGAATGCAACTTTGCCAGCAAAAAGCAAGTCTTTTTTGTGTATTCACTGTTTAAACAGCTAAAATATCAAACTGATCTCAAGCAGAAACTTCATTCACTAGCAAAAAAACAAAAAAAAGTCTAAAGTGGAAAACAAGTGATTTTAATGACTAGTCTGAAGCAAACAAGAAAAAGATAAAAATGGTAACACTGCAATAAAGTTTTCAGCTTGGAGAAGAATTTTTGTGAGACTTATCACAAATATACTGATGGGGTCTTTCTTATAGTATATAATATGTTTAAATAATAAAAATTAGAGATTGGAGAGAAGAGAGAGAAGACGATGGTTTTTTGNAACAAGTTGGAGCTACAAACTATAAAGGAACTGAAATTTTCCTTTTTATTGCTATACATTTAGAGTCCGTTTAGACATAAGAAATTTTTTCTTTTTTCCTCAAAAAATTTTTACCTTTTTTTCGAAATCAACGTTTGTTCATGAAATTTTTAATTTTCACTTGAAGATGCATTTTAAAAATTTACGAAAATTTAAAAAACTCCAAAAATTTATTTTTCAAAATTTTCACTTAAATCACCCACAAAACTTCAAAAACAACCCAAAATTATATTCATGTCCAAATACAACTCTAAATTTCAAATACCATTTTCACTTAAAAAAAAATTTCCCCTATTTTGTAATTTTACAATTCTTATGTCCAAACGCCCACTTAGAGCCCGTTTGGACATGCGAAATTTTCCTTTTTTTCAAATTTTTTTTTGAAAATAATATTTGGTTATCAAAATCTTACGTACAATTTTTTCAATCTTAATTGAAAATGTATTTTCAAATTTGAACCAGTTTTTCAATTGAAAATGGGAAGGTTGCTAGTGTTTAGTTGCAAAATATGTTGAAAAAAAGACATCCAAATATGTTGCAAAAATTATAACCAAACACAACTTCATCTTCAATTCAAATTTTAGTGAAATTCTAAATTTGAAAAAAAAAAAAAAATTGAAATTCATGTCCAAACGCCTACTTAATTTATGTTACGTTCATTTCCTGTCTTTTTCTTTGTTTTTCACTGATATTCCATACCTTGCTTTAATGCTAAAGTAATTTGCATTCTAGTTAGAAAATTTTATTTTGGGGGCAAAACATTCCTTATCAAAAGTGATTTTATGTTCTGTGCTCGAACCTAAAACTAAAATTAAGAATAAAGAAATATTTATCATTTCATTAATTTTGATAGTTTCTTTTCCGATGTCTTGCTATAAGATCTATGAAGATCTTTTTTGTTTTTTCCTTTTCTATGACAAGATTTCAGGTTGTTACTTGGGAGCTAAAAAAATAATCTACTTGCACCAGATATAAATAATTTAACTCTATATAAATCGACAGTAAACAAAGTATTGTTGCTATAGGTAATATCAACAATTTTTAGGATCTTTTTTATGAGCCATTGTTTAAGTGGGGCGAAGCTACATTGTTAGAAGGATTGTCAATTGAACATCTTTCACTGAAAAATTATATCGTGTATATAAGTAAAATATTAAATTTTAGATGTACATAATATTTAGTTAACACCCTTTGTCGAGAATTTTTGTATTTATTTCTTTCCAGTTTGAATATCATTGAAAAAATTCCTGCTTCGCCCAATGCATTTAACATTAATTTTTATAGTTTATGGATTAAATTAAATTCTCTTCTATCTTTTTGGTAAAGTCATGAATCTTCGTTATGTATTTTGCTGTAGTAAAGTTCTAGAGCAAATATAAGCTGGTTTGAGAGCTCTTGAGAAAAAGTTCTATGGTGCTAATGCATGAATGTGTTTAATAGTAGATTTTTTAGTTATGAATCATAAATTGCATTGATATACTTATCTTCTGCGCAAACCAATTAAAATCATCTTTGATAATGTAACATAATTGTCGAATATAAAGACACTGATTCTTTGCGTCCATCAGAAATAAATGTTGATTTTAATTAAAGTCCCCTTTAATGTAATCATAGAAATGCATACACATTAACTTATCGCAAATTTATTAGCTAATTGATTTTACGTATTTCTAGAGGGACAACAAAAATTAAAACTAAAAGTAGGTCATAAAAAGTTTTGACTAGCTCTCGTTTGAATGATATATAGTGGTGTTATAGTCAACTAAAGAAGTGTACATAATTTCCTAGCTAGTTCAGGAGCTTTTTCAAAAACGCTATACGGTCTATACTCTCTATTGTTATCATTATTCCTCTTCTCTCCTTTTCCTTTAATATCAAGTTACTCATTTTAAAATCTAAAATGGCTCCTTTTGCATAATTACTTGAAAGAGAAAAATATCAGAGTGAAAGTAGGACCTATACAGAAACGAAATGTCCGAACCTCTTTTTTGGAAAATCAATTTATATATACAAGCTTAAATTATATATATATATATATATA